AAACTATTGTGCAGTGTGTGAGTGTTAGTGTTAGTGTCCAAACAAGTGGCTTTCTGTGATCTGTCCAGCTGCTCTGACCCCAGGACAAGGTCTGAGGTGGCAAAACACTGTCTCCACCCAGGCTATAGGCTGTGAAATGTACATGTTTTCATAGAGGGATTTACCACAGTGTTGCCAAGCTGTGGTCAGCTTTGTTGCTGACTGTCTGTTTTGTCTTTGTTTATCCAGTAGTAAAGAAAACATGGAGGAAAGAATTTTGTCTTTGGGTGGACAAGAAAGAGGAGTTAAACAACTACTCAGGCAGAAACAACACACTTTTAAGCTGCCATTCGACTATTCTAGGAGAGATTTAGCTTTTTGTGTTTTGTTTAGTAATGCTCACTTCATGAACAAATGAAACGTTTTTTTTTACTGCACACAAAACAGTTGAAACATTATTCTTGTATCTTCTTATATAAAATTATTAAATATCTTATTTTTGTTTTACTGAAGAAAATCACTTTTTTTGTGAACTTTCACTACAAATGAAGATAAATAAGAATTTGGATAAAAATATGACATGATACAAACATTGACATATTAATGGACACAGTGGCATGGTAATAATGTTACTTTAGATCACATATGTTGTAGTAGGCTGCTGTATGCATATGAAGGATAATATACTTGTTTAATGTTTATAGAAGATCACTAGGTTTTCCATTGGCTGTAAGCATGGAGAACAATAAGCATCAAGAGCTTAAGAGGGCAAGTTCTCGATTCTGTAGCTGCTAAAATAGTTTGAACATAGTGGTTGCAGTTTGACCCCTGTAACCTGATTTGTAGAGATCAAAGCATTTGGCAGGACAGCAGCTGGTTTTTCTTGAGAATCAGATATAAGGAGGGAGGGTCACTGCTGGTCACACTTGCTTCGTGCCTCAGAAGAATAAGCTATATATTATTATATGGAGCACAGTGCTCTTTATCAGTTTTGCCCTTTACTAATGGTCTTTGAGATTACTTTTGACAACTTTGTTCACAAATCACTGCTGTAGGGTTACATTGATCAATCATAAATGAATAAAAAGACCACATCTGCAGTGTTTATGCTCATTAAGTGCAATACACTTACTTGTACACTTATTTTATATTTCCTGACCTACAGTTGTTAATAATTACAGTCAAATTGCTTTGGAGACTATCAACACTCCATGTCAATTTAAATGTGTCCTCAATTGTCTTTTTGTTTACTTACAAAATGCATGATTACACTCGCAGCATGGCCCATTAGATGATGCTCAAGTAATTTTGTTGGTGACCCAGAAACGCTCTTCATTGCATCTCTGTGGTATTTTGATTACTCAGACGTGATGCAATGGCCAGAGCAAGCCAGAAAGCGAGAAGCAGCGTAATCTCCAAGCAGTAATCCTCCATTTCTTTGTGTGCCAGAGTCCTATTGGTGTGCTAAAACAGGGCAGTGCAAATGAGAGACAGGTCATGACAGGTCCTTGGAATTGCCTTTGTCTGCTTTGAGAAGGCACTTCTCCCCCAAGTGCTAATCTCAGCCCCTCCCATTTCTACAATAAGGTCGAAAATAGCGTCAGATCCCTCTGCTATGCCAAATCACCATGCTGTCATCTGCAGGAAAAGTGTGTCATAAATTTACAGGCTGCCTGTTCATAGTCAGTTGGTGTCGTCCTGCTCATGTTATTGAGTATGATAGTGTTGTAGCATCCCTCAGAAACTCCAAATCTCATGACAAAACATAACTACAGGTATTTTATGAGGTGGCGATTTCACATGAATTTGTATGATGCTTTGTATGGAAACGTACAATGTGTGAAGGTCAACCCCTTAACTTATCTGTCAGTAGGGTGTAAGCAGATTGTACAAAAATTTACAAATGAGACTGTATGAATTCATACAGTCTAAATAAATAAATTAATTAGCCACTAGTTTGTGAAACATTCAATTTAACCGTTTATTTGACAAAAAAAAAGAAAAAGACAAACGCATTTAGTAGATGGAGGTGTTCAATGTAAACACGTTATGTTCCAGATTTTCTTTGGTTGACGCTAGAATAAAATTTTCACCTAAAAACACACTGACTTGGCACTGAATCAAATAATGCTTGATCGTTTTAAAGCTTAAATAATTACCTGCACTGTTGTCACAGCTGTTCTTCCTAAGCACAGAAGAAAGTTGAGAGGAATGCTGCATGCAGAGGTCAGTAACTCTAAGTAAGCACTGCTGACAGTTAACATTTGTTTGACCACATGACTATTATTGACTTAAAGGAATAGTTTAAAAATCCAGTCATCATTTACTCACCCTCATGTCGTTCAAAACCCATGACATACTTTCAGCTGTGGAAGACAAAATGAGAAATCGCGAAGTGTACTGGTCAGTTTTTTATTTAATGAGAATGAATGGTGACCAAAAAGGTCCAGCTTTTAAAAGGATGCAAAATTACTATAAAGTATAAATAAAAGTATCTGCATCACTATTTTAGAATTCTTCTAAACCCAATCAGTACATTTAATGGACTATTTTAATTCAACCTTTATGGTGATTTTGGTATCAGAATCAGAATCAGAAAGAGCTTTATTGCCAAGTATGTTTGCACATACAAGGAATTTGTTATAGTGTCACAAGCTTCCAGTACACGGAGACAACAACAACACACAGATAATAAAAATAAGATATGAATAAAATACACATGCATAAATATAAACCACAAAAAAAAAGAATAAATTGTATGTACAGGTGTGCTATTGACAGAATAGGAATAAAATAAAAAAGTTGTAGGGATGTACTGGGATTTAGGGTGATAAATATCTTCAGTCATGATTCATGTTTCTTTTTCCATGCATTTTGTCTCAGCTAATTTGTGTGTGTGTGTGTGTGTGTGTGTTCTGCAGAAGAAAGAAAATCATACAGATTTGGAACCACATAATGTGAGTTAAGCCTGTGTTAAACCCAATTTATACTTCTGCGTCGAACCTACGCCGTGGCCTACGCATAGACGCACACCCTACACCGTAGCCTGACGTGCACCTCTCCAAAAATCTAATTCTACGCGGACCGCAAGCGCTGTGATTGGTCTGCAAGAACCCCTCCCTCCGTATGTACTTGAGTTTTGTGTGTTTATGTGCACTTTAATATATTTTAATGTTACACCTTCTTATATAAAATAAAACAAAGCAAAGAACAAGTGTCTTATCATTTATTATACTACATAGCATTATACATCGGTAGTTGTCCGCAACAAACAATGTTGATCTGCCATGGTACAAGTCCTTGTGCAGATTGAAAGAATGCCTTTTTGTAGTTTTAAATAATGGTTTAATGATTTGATATTTATTTGCCGCCGTCACGGCTATAATGCTTCTCTGACGAGCCGCTTCTTCTTCGGCTTTTGCCGTGGTACTGCAGGTTACACCAGCAACATGCCCGTGGACACTGCAGACTATAGCGGTTTGCATGTGTACTGCACGTCGACATGGACAACGACGCAGAAGTATAAATGAAAACTGACGCATAGCCTACGGCGTAAAGGCTATGGCATAGGTCCGACGCAAAAGTATAAATCAGCCTTTATACTTTCCGCATGAGCAATCCGGATGCATACACGGACAGCGCAGACGCGGACTACTTGTATTTATACTACCAAAAGCATACGCTGATGGTCCGCTCTGCGGACGTGTTCCATACATGCGTACTACATCGGCTTGAACAATAAACAAACATGTGAACAAACAATTGCCCAGAGTTATTGCACATCTGGCTATCTTTATATTGTTTTATCGACGGATTGTACAGCGCACACTCTCCGATGACGATTTTTACGTCACACATACCATAGCGGACCCTAGCGGACGCGGAAAGTATAACACAGGCTTTAATCATGACAGGATTATATTTTTTGGGGTGTACTGTCCCTTTAAATATACAATGGTTAATCCCTACAACTACCTTTGCAACTAACTTAACGCGTGTTAGATAAACCTCTTATACTTAAAAAATACAAATAATTGTTTGCCATAAATTTCCAAGTACTGCAATCAGAGTAAATCATTCCTATCTGCGACGTTTACGTTAGAAGCCATATGGTTGTTACGGACGCCACGGCAAAGGCCACAGACTCACCTGTCCTCTTTTCAGACGAAACTATTGAAATAAAATGACAGGATTATATTTTTTGGGGTGTACTGTCCCTTTAAATATACAATGGTTAATCCCTACAACTACCTTTGCAACTAATTTAACGCGTGTTAGATAAACCTCTTATACTTAAAAAATAAAAATAATTGTTTGCCATAAATTTCCAAGTACTGCAATCAGAGTAAATCATTCCTATCTGCGACGTTTACGTTAGAAGCCATATGGTTGTTACGGACGCCACGGCAAAGGCCACAGACTCACCTGTCCTCTTTTCAGACGAAACTATTGAAATAAGACACATACCATAGCGGACCCTAGCGGACGCGGAAAGTATAACACAGGCTTTAATCATGACAGGATTATATTTTTTGGGGTGTACTGTCCCTTTAAATATACAATGGTTAATCCCTACAACTACCTTTGCAACTAATTTAACGCGTGTTAGATAAACCTCTTATACTTAAAAAATAAAAATAATTGTTTGCCATAAATTTCCAAGTACTGCAATCAGAGTAAATCATTCCTATCTGCGACGTTTACGTTAGAAGCCATATGGTTGTTACGGACGCCACGGCAAAGGCCACAGACGCCCCTGGTCTCTTTTCAGACGAAACTATTGAAATAAGTTGCCGGGATAACCTGGACGTATATCGCCAGTTTAGAAATGAATGCGATTTTATGCGGTTTATATACAGCCGAATTATCTGGAAAGATATCGTATAATTTATTTAAAATTGTGAATGTTTAATATTTTGTATCCATTCTATCAGTAGCCAACCCCCGTCAGCCCGTGTAGATGGTTTCGCCCTTGTTGCCTTTAGGGCTCGTAGAAATTGCTTGCTTGAGTTAACGTCTGCAACAGAAGAAACGCGAAAAACTTTTGAGTTCGTGCACGAGAGACCACGTCAAGCGTAACATGTTAATGAAATCGCACATGCAATGAAATAAGCCTGCTTTTTCTGTCCTTTTGTGGATATCTTCACAGTGAATTTTGTCAAGGTAAGTCCTGTAGTTGAAACTACTTATTAAAGCAAAATGATTTTCCAGCCGCTCAAGTGTGTAATACGTTATAAATAGCCCAATTGCTTTCAAAATGTTACAGAGTTAATAGGAAGAATTGTTCCCTCTTTTGACCCGTGTTTTCTATTTAGGTGATGGTAATAACATCTGTGAAATGAAGACCACAGCCATTTAGCGGATCATTTATAATCGCATCGCTTTTTCAGAAACAAATAAAAGTAGATTTTGTATTTTGATGTTGATTTTGACGGATATGGATGCTCCAGAAACGAGTAGATGCAGTGCATTGGAGTCACAGCTGTGTATACAGTCACACCTGCCACAGTTGTCAATTCACACACTGTATGTTTTGTTGTATGATGCTGTAAACAGAAACAGTCAGACTCAAATCAGTCGTTTTAAGTAGACATAGTCATCTATCAAAGACAAAAGGTGAAACTACCCACTTTATAGACATTAAATTGATTTCTAAATTATAAATTGCTTTCATAAGTTGTTCGAAACTTGTATAACTAGTTCTTTGTATAACTTTTTCTTTACCAAATAAAATGTTGGGCGCAAGTTTACTGCCACTTTCACCATTCACTTTGATTGCATTTTTTCCCAGAATGTGAAGTGAATGGTGTCTGAGACTCTCATTCTGCTTAGCAACTCCTGTTCTGAAAGTTTTACATTTTTTTGTCAGATTTAACCCTTTGAGAAAGTATTTCTCAACTGGCTTTGCTCCAGGAGCCAGGTTTTACATGTGACAAGAACTGGTGACCATACACTGTACAAAAGTAACAAAAAATGTCCTTCAAATTAAATATTGAACTTTTATTATTGTTACCATACACAGGCCCAAGAATATGAAAACGGACAGTTTTGTAAATGCATAAATGTGATTTATCACCACATGGAATAAACACTGGGCAAAATGTGGAATTATTATTAATAAAATTTAATTTTTCAGAGATATATTTCACTATGCTTGATAATCAAATGTTAGTATTTTTAATTGAGTTTTTTGTGTGTGTGCTGTGGTGTGCTTTTCCCTCTCTCACACTTTCTTGCACATGTTTTGTCCCAGGACATTGGGTGCTTTGTCATCAAATTCCCATAAATCCCTTGTTTATATCTCTCTCATCCTTCCCTTCAAGTTGGGTTTTGATCTCTAAGCATGTATCCTCCCATCCTGCTCTCTGCCAGGTCTCTACAAGAGTTGAGGTGTGCGATATCTGTTAGCATGTGTCCACCAGATGTGCTTGTAGTGTTTTGAAGAATCTTATTTGTTCAGTTGCTCTTATATGAATAGTGAGAGCTTCTTGTTTTTAATATTTAGCCTAATTTATTTACACTTCTACTTATACTTACTGTTCAATGTTGTCTGTTTACCCAGCACATGGTGGTTTTATGTCTTTTTTGGGGGGGTGGGGGGTGCATTCCTAGCCACCCATCGTACCACATGATCAGTGCCACTTCCTCACAAACAAAAACACATCCTGCTTGTTCTCTCCCAGTTTTGCCAGCAGCCTTTATACTAGAAGTATGATTCATTAAACGGTTTTGCAACATTTACCATTTTATTATAATTTTTTTTATTTCATTTATTTATTTATTTTTGCGGAAGTAAAATGCAACCAGGGTGATTTTAAATGGATGTCAGTATGCAAGGTTGTTTTTTTTCATTTTTGTTTTTCATTAATATTTTTTATTAATTTTTATTAATAATATAAATTATTAATGGTTTATAATTTATGCCAGTAAATAATTTTCATTAGTGATCTTAAAGGGATAGTTCACCCAAAAAAATGAAAATTCTGTCATTAATTACTCATCCTTGTGTCGTTCCAAACCCGTAAGACCTTCGTTCATCTTTGGAACAAAAAATGAAGATATTTTTGATGAAATCCCAGAGCTTTCTGACCCTGCATAGACAGCAACACAACTACCACATTCAAGGACCAGAAAGGAAGTAAAGACATCATTAAAATAGTCCATGTGACATCAGTGGTTCAACCGTAATTTTATGAAGCTACGAGAATACTTTTTGTGTGAAAAGAAAACTAAAATAATGACTTTATTCAACAATTTCTTCTCTTCCGTATCAGTCTTCGATGCGCGTTCACAAGAGTACCACAACACGTGTGTGGTGCTGCTGACGCAGGATGCGTTGCTGTCTATATTTGCTTTTATCAAAAATATCTTAATTTATGTTCCAAAGATGAACGAAGGTCTTGTGGGTTTGGAACGACATTAGGATGAATAATTAATGACAGAATTTTCCTTTTTGGCTGAACTGTCCCTTTAAGGAAAATGTAATGTAAGAAATGTAATTTTAGCCTAGCCAACACAATATAGGTGAAATTGTTGACATTAAAAGGCATAAAGTATACCATATTTATGTTAAGTTTTATTAAATGTTGCTCATTATGAATATGAGTTATGTGGTCATATAGCTCAAAGTCAGTAGTCCGCAAACCCAGATTTGAATCACTTGTTGGGTAACCTGGGTTGCCACAATGACCTGATATGGGCTTTCACTTTCACACCTTCGGTCATGTTACCCTGACATGACGTAATTTCCAGAAAGAAGAGAGGTAATTGTTTAATAAATTATTCAGAGGCACAGCAGCAATTTAAGTATGGAAGCGATTTAAAAAAAAAAAAAAATTTTTATTCATTTTGATAGTGCTGTTTGCCTCTTTAAATGAATGAATTCTGATGTCTTTAAATTGCGTTTTGTGGCAGAACGAGCCATTCAACTTTTATATAAGCCATCATTTAGAGGACTGTGTTACAGCCAGCAGGAACAAATAGAAATTTTCAGGGTGTGTATAACAAACATAAACGTTTTTTCCTGACTACTAAGGGCTCAGCAGTAAATTGAGAAGTCGCACAGTGGCTCTCCCTGCAGGCCATTGGGATACTGCCGCATTGTGGACCCCAACACTGAATGACATGCCTCACCTGACTCAAACTACAAGGTGATGGGAGGCTCTCAAATCAGTCTCCGTTCACTTGTAGCTCGAATTATACCATATTCATTAGATCTAAATTCTTCTTTGTCTGCAGGAGCTGAGGGTAATTGGGAGCTAAAGACTTCACAAGATTTCCTCGAATCTATTCTATGGAGGTCAAAGGTCGCCTCATCACTGCCATGGGCTTAGGGGCCCCAGGTGAGCCTGCTTATTTCCATAGGAAGCACAATATCTGTACAATAGATTTTTGTGTTGGTCAATATTTGATATTGAATTTCGCATGCTCATTTGTAAAATTTAAAACAAATTTTTTCTAGTGTGCTTTAATAATATGTATGATTTTAGTTTTTGTCTCTTATGCTCACCAAAGCTGCATTTGTTTAATCAAAAATAATGAAAGTGTGAAGAACGAAAGTGTAAATATAATTTTAACTTTGGCTTTCTGTCTCATGCACTTCATGCTCATGCACAGCTGTCCAGGGCTGTCAGGACAGCAAGCTGCAAGCGGAGCGAATCTCAGAACTGCAGGAGCGAAAGCAGAGTCTGCAGAGCCTTTTGAACAGTCGTCTCGGAGAACTGCGACAAGTGTGTCTCTTGGAGGCGGTGAGGAAATTAATTATTCTTTAAAGCAGTATTTTACGTTTGGGCAGTCACAATAAAATAATGTTCTCTCCAAAAAAAAACAAATGCTGACTTCAGAAATGTGCACACAGCTGTTTCCTAAAGTTTCTTCTTTTTTTCTTTCTCTTTGTTCTGAAAGTGAATTCTCTTATTCGATGTGTGAGTGTTGCTTTTAGGATTTGCATTAATGTGAAGAACTGTTTATTAAGTTGTGTTTTTCAAAAGAAAGAAACAGGCGTACGTATTGGAACCATCTGTTCTAACGAATGCCAACAAACATGACACTCCCCAGTGCAGTGATTCAAAAGTAAAAGATTTAATTTGTCTGTACAGGAGCTCACTGGGAAGCTTCCACAGGATTTTCCTTTAGAAGAAGGGGAAAGACCTCCCTTTGTTCAGCGCCGAGCTGGTCTGGCCCCTCATGTTACCTCAAAAGGAGAGGTGAGTCTGATATCTGAAAGCTATTAGAAGGATTCTCCTAACAGTTTTATACAATAACAGCCATATCTGTCTTCCATGTAGGATGACCCAGGTCAACGACGGCAGATGAAGGCTCTCTTCAGTGGTGCCCTGCGCCGGAGCATCGATTCTGATAAAAACACGTTGCACAATAAGAGGACTGTTCATCGGGGATGCCACACAGGTAACATACACACACAAAAGTGCAAAACAATTGGACAATTAAGCATTAATTACACAGTGGTGGTTGAGGAGAGACCCCCCCCCATGATTGTAAAGCGCTTTGGGTGTACAACAATACACAATAAAGCGCTATATAAATGCATCATTCATTCATTCATTCATTGGTAATTTGGTAAAATTTGCACACTCTGGGAATGTCTCTACAGGAAGTGCATAGTAACCAAGTCATTTTCCCTTATTTTTCAGACTGTTGCCTTTGCTTGAAAAGGACAATGGACACATGTTGACAGACTTTGATATTTATAAATGACTTGATTATGTGTTACAAATAGCTTACAAAAACAGAGAATTTAGATTTTTTTAAGACTACTGGCCTTTTACACTACTGCTTGAAAGTTTGGGGTCGGTAAGATAAAAAAAAAAGTTAATACTTTTATTCAGCATGGATGCATTAGATTAATCAAAAGTGAGAGAAAAGACATTTACATTGTTAAAGGAGTCATGAACTGGCTTTTTAATATTATTTTATACTGTCTGAGGTCCACTTATGCAGTTTGCGTGGTTTTTAGCAGTTTAGCGCCACTTATGTTATTTCCCTACTATGTCATGCGCGAATCAGTGGGCAGGGCTACAGAATTAGGCATTGATATTCTTCTGTGGAGGCGGTGTTTAACCTAACTATTATGTCATAGATAGGCACATTCCAGGATCTGCCGTTCACTGGGCCTGGTGTTAATAAAAGCTTTTATTTCAGTAACAAGGACGTTTTCAGTTCTGAAACTTACAGGATATTCTTTTAGTACGATGACCTCTTATATATCAAAAGCTCAAGTAAAAGTTGATTTCTCAAGTCATGACCCCTTTAAAAAAGTTATTTTGAAAAAAATTCATTAAATTTTTCTAACTTTGAAAATGAGAAATATTTTTTGAAAACGCTGATTTCTGAAGGATTATGTGGCACTGAAGGCTGGAGTGTTTAATTAAAATAGAAAATATTTATTTCAAATTGTAATAATATTTCACAATATTACTGTTTTTACTGTATTTTTAAATGCAATAAATTTTACCTTTGTGAGCATAAGAGACTTCTTTCAAAAACATTGAAAAATATTTCCGACCCCAAACTTTTGTACAGTAGTGTAAACAATGGTCAAGAAAGCGTTACATCTGATTATTTATATATTTAAATATTACTTTATATATAATATTTTGATATCTTTTTATATAATAAAAATAATGATATATTTATTATAGACCATAGAAAAACCAGATCTTTGTGTTGTTGTTTTTTTATTCTAATTTTTTAATTTTCAGAGGAAACTGTGAAGTCAGAGAGCAGTTCAATGTCAGACTCAACATCACATGACAATGGTGAGGAGTCTTAACATTATGAAACAAAGAAAGTACATCTCAATACTCGTTTTTACTCAATAATTGAGTAATAATTGAGCAACACACTGGCCTGTTTATGACAGGCTGTAACTTTGATATACAACCCTGTCAACTGTGGTTCACAGAGGATTCGTCTCCCAGTGTGGCACCTGAGCATCGCTCCTTGTCTCACCCCCGGCTGGCCCCAGGCAGTCCTGACAGTAGGCTCTGTAGGAAGCTGTCGCCTGTGGAGATCTACTACGAGATGAGGACTCGCCGCAACTCAGCCTCAAGCTCTGTGAGGTGAGCGGAGGGGGAGGACAATATGTTTCCGCAAGCTGATATGGATGAGGTTTACGCTATAATTATAACTTATGAATGTGTGGATGTTGATCCAGCCCGAGTCACTCACTCCCAAGAAGTGCATCCAATGTGGAGGGCAGAAGTGTTCCAGCCACACCGCTGTTGTCCCGCACTGCACCAATGAGCGTCCACGTGAGGTAATGGCTCTTTTATGACCATTTCTTCTGCTATATGTACACTATGGCTAGGGAGCTTTCTACTGCCTACATAGGCATCTGCCTTCTAAGGCAGCATCCAAACTTACATTTACTTACACTCATACATGGGCAGCAACACAAAATAGCACAATCTGCACAAATTATTCTAATATAGTTTGATATTCGCTTGTTGCTGTGCTAAAAAATAAATACTCTATATTATTCATAGACATACACTACATTCAAAAGTTTGGGGTTGTTAAGTTTTTTTTTAATGTTATTGAAACGTTATGCTCAATTATTACGCTCAACAAGGCTACATTTACTTGATCAAAAATACAACAAAAACAGTAATATTGTGAAATATTATTGTATATTATTATTCCGGTGATGGCAATGGCAAGTAATTACTACAGTCTTCAGTGCCATGTGATCTTTCAGAAATCATTCTAATATGCTGATTTGGTGCTCAAGAAACATTTCTTATCAATGTTGAGAACAGTTGTGCTGCTTCATTTTTGTGGTAACCATGATACACTTTTATAGGATTCTTTAAAGAACTGCATTCAAAAGAACAGCATCTGTTTGAAATATAAATCTTTTGTAATATTATAAGTCTTTACTGTCACTTTTGATCAATTTAAAGCATAATAACTTGTTACTGTCTTCTCCTCCTGCTAGGTCGGAGGTGTCTGTTGGTATTGCACTAAAGCAGTGGTGTGGTAGTCCAGATGTTCCTCAGTTTGTCCCATTGGCATCTTTGGAGGGCTCCTCTTCTGAGCGCCGCAGCTGCCCGTACAGCTCCCGCGCCCGTCGTAGCAACAGCTCTGAGGCGCTACTCGACCGCTCGAGTCTCCCTGAGCCCGATCCTTCCCGCAACGGCATGCCACCCCGAGCTGGACCATACAAGAGCTCAGAGTCCCTCACGGATGGGAAGCTCCGTCAGATCTATCAAGGCAGCCCAGACAGACAGATGATGGGATTTAAAGACCAGGGTCGAATGCGCTCGTCTCTGGGCGGCCAAAGCAGTGGCACGGGTTACAATGAGATTTTGATGGACTACATTTGGGGCAAACAGCAAAAGAGGCCTGTCCTGGCTCAACAGAACCAGTCAGCAGGACGAATCTGGCCGGACCTCTCCACTCCTCCATCGGGCACCCCTCCATACTATAATGGTTTCTCTCATTCGCAGTTACATCTGGCTGCCGCCCCACCTTTTTACAGCCCCATGCTGCTGCGGGGTCAAGAGGCCGAACCCCGTCGGGTCAAAGTGACACGCACAAAATCCTGTGGACCCTTCATCCCTTTACAGCAGCACTCACAGGATGCCGTGTTGTTCTCTGCGTATGATCCATCACATCCCTCTGCTGGATCCACAGCTTCTTCTATTCCTAACCTGCTCCCTCACCACACAGAGCTGTCCACTGCTGCTGCATTCGGCCGCAGACCGCCTCAGTTCTCTCTGCCCACTCCTGAGGACTCTACCCGCAGTCTGCACAAGGCACTGGCTCTAGAAGGACTCCGGGACTGGTATCTGAGGAATGCCTTAGGTTATTCCACTATGGCCAAAGGTCACGACGGACTCACCATGCGCCATTCACATACTCACCACCTGGTGCACCAGCCTCAGTCCGTTACAGCCGACCCACTGTACTCTGTGCACCGTCAAATACCTCAGTCAGCTTCATTTCATGGGCATCCGTTGCATGCCAGGTGAGTTTTCCACATTTTTATTTAAAGGGGTCATATGATGCGATTTCTATTTTTCCTTTTCTTTAGTGTGTTATGTAGCTATTTGTGCAGGTATAAGATCTGCAGAGTTACAAAGCTCAAAGTCACCAACAAAAGGATTTATTCTATCTAAAAGAGAAGGTTGATCCAGACCGGGCTAAAATGTCTCATTCAAACACGCCCCCACATGTCTATGTAGCGAATCAGCTCATGGGGAAATATGAATAATTAAGCATAACTAGTTATAATTAACTATTCATATTTTAGATCCGCTGTAGATATTTAGCTGACCTCTCAGGGTCAACTGTCTTGTCAATTCCAAGAATGTTAATTTCCTGGTTAAGGGAAATTGAACAAAGATTCCTGATGCGATCTTACGGCCCCAAGATCTTGCTGAAGTTGGTTGATGAGAAAGAACCAGTTTGAGTCAGAGTCACTTGATGAATGGAAAGGACTAGGCCGAAGAAAGGCCTGGCACAAATGCTTTGGTATCCTGAAGCGTTTTCTCACATCTTCTTAGCTTCTGGCCGAACCACCGACTGGGCAGGTCACATGGAGTGTGGCCTTTAAAGCCTGCAGAGATTCACGCCTCTCAAGATGGGTTTGTCCAATGAGGAAGGCTGAAATCCCAAGCGGGAGGTTGGAAATACTGGGGAGTTTTATGACTCTTTGTCTCTAAGCATGGTATTTTGCATATGTAATTCGCTTGGGTGTGAATGCACAAATTAGTAAAGATTCTTAGAACATCAATATGTTGCATAGGTATCAGCATATAATATACACGCTTGTTTCGATCATAAGAAGGCGAATTCATAGATACTAAACAAGGTAAGATTACATATAGTGAAAAGGGATGATCAGGAATGGGTTCCCTCACAAGCATACTAAAATAGTCTACAAATATCAAAGACAAAATACACAATGACAATAATATACCCAATGGCCTGAAGAATATGTGTGTTCATTCAAATAACGGTTTTCCTATGAATTAACTAGAACACAGTCCATTTCTACTCTGCCTTTCCTTGGGACATGCAGGGATTTTCCCTGCTTTACATACTTTTGGCCAATAAACCCAGTGATATCAGCGTTGGTTGCCATGCAACAAAGAGGCCTGTTCGACTTCCTGGGGTGTTACGCATTCCGGGGGGAAGGGTTCATGGGTCCTCTTATGGGTTGTTAACTGAGGTTACAGAGTATTTGTTATATAAAAAGAGAATATATAGTGTGTTGGATTGGTCCAGACGCTACACTACGTCACGATGTGGAAATATATGCCGCCCAAATGTACACGCAAAGAAAGAAGGTGTGGTTTCAGGAACAGCAGTAGTGTTGATGCAGCCATGTCAGGGAGACGCTGTGTGATTCAGTGCGAAAGCAAAAGCACTTTATTTGGCCTTCCAAAAGGAAGGAATCATTGGTTAACATTTATTTACAACAGAACAGCACAACCCAGATGTTCGAATTTGTGCAACGCATTTTATGGACGACAGTTTTGGGAACCTAGGAAAGTAGCCTACAAGGCTTGCTGTGCAAAGGCTATTTCTAAAAAAATGGGTAAATTCCGATATTGCTACGATAATCTGGCACTTATTCTGAATCAGCTACTGTACGTATGTTTTCTTAATAGTTTAAGTATTTGCTATTGACTGTTCAAATGCGGAGTTTTGCGTCGTGTAGATTATCGCGTCGTGTGTGTGAGTGAGTGAGAGAGAGACACAGAGAGGTCACATCAAAGTGGAGTCAGCTTTCTTTATCGCGGCTTGTGTACTGCAAATACATAATGCGAGCATCATAACTGTGTCTGTCACGCGACTCTGTTCCCCTTTCAGGCTTGAACTGATGGTAAAACTTAGGACATTATGTACTGTCTTTACATTTATGTTGAAAGCTAAAGCTCGCGATTATGGAAAGGGGCGTTACATTTCCGACGCATGCTTGTGGTGTTTGGCCAATCACAGTGCACTGGGTCAGCTGGCCAATCAGAGCAGACTGTGCTTGTCGGAATTAGGGGCTTTGTAGAAAACGACGCGTTTGAGAGAGGCGGGGCATAGAGGACCTACAATAATGTACAGTATTTAAAAAAATAATGTGTTTTTTTTAACATTAAAGCATGTCAACATGTTCTGTTACACCAAATACACAAAATAATGATCTTTAAAATAGCATCATATGACCCCTTTAACTTTCCCATAATTATGTAAAACTCGAAAATATCAAAGAATTTGTGAGACTGGAAAGGTAATGGAAATTGCTATTTATGATCTTATATTAGTAGTAGTAGTACTACTATTACTACTACTACTAATAATAATAAACTTACAAATCATAATGTTACTTCTTGCTCGTCTGCTTGTCAGTTCTCAAGACGTTTGGATGTTAGTTTTTGTGTTACAGTCATCTTATGCTCACCAAGGCAGCATTTATTTGATCAAAAATACAGCAAAAGCAGTAATACTGTGAAATTTTAAATAAATATTTTCTATTTTAATGTAGTTTCAAATGTAATTTATTTATGTGATGGCAAAGCTGATTTTCTGCATCATTACTCCAATCTTCAGTGTCACATGATTCTTCCGAATTCATTTTAATAAGCTGATTTGCTGCTCAGGAAACATTTCTTATTATTATCAATGTTAATAGTTGTGATGCTTACTATTTTTGTGGAAATAGTGATACGTTTAAAAAAAAAAAAAGATTCTTTAATAATTTCCTTGGGACATGCAGGGATTTTCCCTGCTTTACATACTTTTGGCCAATAAACCCAGTGATATCAGCGTTGGTTGCCATGCAACAAAGAGGCCTGTTCGACTTCCTGGGGTGTTACGCATTCCGGGGGGAAGGGTTCATGGGTCCTCTTATGGGTTGTTAACTGAGGTTACAGAGTATTTGTTATATAAAAAGAGAATATATAGTGTGTTGGATTGGTCCAGACGCTACACTACGTCACGATGTGGAAATATATGCCGCCCAAATGTACACGCAAAGAAAGAAGGTGTGGTTTCAGGAACAGCAGTAGTGTTGATGCAGCCATGTCAGGGAGACGCTGTGTGATTCAGTGCGAAAGCAAAAGCACTTTATTTGGCCTTCCAAAAGGAAGGAATCATTGGTTAACATTTATTTACAACAGAACAGCACAACCCAGATGTTCGAATTTGTGCAACGCATTTTATGGACGACAGTTTTGGGAACCTAGGAAAGTAGCCTACAAGGCTTGCTGTGCAAAGGCTATTTCTAAAAAAATGGGTAAATTCCGATATTGCTACGATAATCTGGCACTTATTCTGAATCAGCTACTGTACGTATGTTTTCTTAATAGTTTAAGTATTTGCTATTGACTGTTCAAATGCGGAGTTTTGCGTCGTGTAGATTATCGCGTCGTGTGTGTGAGTGAGTGAGAGAGAGACACAGAGAGGTCACATCAAAGTGGAGTCAGCTTTCTTTATCGCGGCTTGTGTACTGCAAATACATAATGCGAGCATCATAACTGTGTCTGTCACGCGACTCTGTTCCCCTTTCAGGCTTGAACTGATGGTAAAACTTAGGACATTATGTACTGTCTTTACATTTATGTTGAAAGCTAAAGCTCGCGATTATGGAAAGGGGCGTTACATTTCCGACGCATGCTTGTGGTGTTTGGCCAATCACAGTGCACTGGGTCAGCTGGCCAATCAGAGCAGACTGTGCTTGTCGGAATTAGGGGCTTTGTAGAAAACGACGCGTTTGAGAGAGGCGGGGCATAGAGGACCTACAATAATGTACAGTATTTAAAAAAATAATGTGTTTTTTTTAACATTAAAGCATGTCAACATGTTCTGTTACACCAAATACACAAAATAATGATCTTTAAAATAGCATCATATGACCCCTTTAACTTTCCCATAATTATGTAAAACTCGAAAATATCAAAGAATTTGTGAGACTGGAAAGGTAATGGAAATTGCTATTTATGATCTTATATTAGTAGTAGTAGTACTACTATTACTACTACTACTAATAATAATAAACTTACAAATCATAATGTTACTTCTTGCTCGTCTGCTTGTCAGTTCTCAAGACGTTTGGATGTTAGTTTTTGTGTTACAGTCATCTTATGCTCACCAAGGCAGCATTTATTTGATCAAAAATACAGCAAAAGCAGTAATACTGTGAAATTTTAAATAAATATTTTCTATTTTAATGTAGTTTCAAATGTAATTTATTTATGTGATGGCAAAGCTGATTTTCTGCATCATTACTCCAATCTTCAGTGTCACATGATTCTTCCGAATTCATTTTAATAAGCTGATTTGCTGCTCAGGAAACATTTCTTATTATTATCAATGTTAATAGTTGTGATGCTTACTATTTTTGTGGAAATAGTGATACGTTTAAAAAAAAAAAAAGATTCTTTAATAAGTTCAAAAGAACATCATTTATTTGAAATAGAAATGTTTTGTAACAATGGAAATGCTTTTACTGTCACTTTTTGATTAATTTAATACATTCTTTAATGCATCCTAAAAAATCAAACTGACTCAAAACCTTAAAGCTGCAGTCCGAAACTTTTTTTGTTTAAAAATGATCCAAAATCAATTTTTGAGCAAGTACATAACCAGCCAGTGTTCAAAACAGTTGCCTTACTTTAGCTCAAGTCACAACAGTAAGCTTGTAATAAAGTTTTCTAATGGCGCTGCGTCATTACATCACGTCTGTAAACATAAAGAAGTTAGTATGCTATATCGCACGTGAGGATGCTGCAGGTGACGGATCGTTTATAGCCATTTCTCACAGCACCTGGAATAAATGGCAGATTGTAATCCAGAATAATACACACTAAATATACGCACTCACGCAATGCTGATGTTATTAACGTCAACGATTTGAAAACAAAGTATAACAATAATAATAATTGGCACGGTTTGATGTGATATGAGCTAACCGATCGTTAGATTGATAGCGCAATTTATTGTAATGCTTTTTTCCTCAGTTGATCAGAACAAAAGTGGCAGTTGTTACTTACTTGTTCAGATGACAAAGAGGCAAAACTTATGGACTGCAGCTTTAAATATATATTTAACACAATGTTTTGGATTGAGTAGTTTTTTTAATTAGTTCATTCTAATTAGTTCATTAGTTACATGTTTTCTGATGATGACATTTTCTTTTTTCATCATGGCAGGTCCGTGGAGCTCTCTCTCTACCCAGAGCCTTTTCCCACAGAGGGGGGCACTCAGAAAGAGTCGGGCTCTGAGCCTCCTTCACCTGGAACACTTGTCTGACTGGCAGCCAACACACCCCACAGCCTCCAGTGCAACATGTTGCAATATCTGATGCAAAATGACACCTTGTTCTAGGCATGCACTGGTCCAATACCGTGCTCAAAATTAGAGGAAAATAAACCATTGAAATAATCCATCCTTTCGTAGCATAAATGCTGCCACACAAACAATGACAGCAGGACAAAATAGTATTTGATTGGAGAAATATATCATATATATATATATATATATATATATATATATATATATATATATATATATATATAATTGCAGCATTATTTAAAAGTGCAATTATTATACTGCATATAAAATGATATTGGTGCATCCCTATATTGTTCAGCAAATAAGGAGGCATCTGTAACAGCTCAGAACTGAAATTGAGTGATCAGTGTGTTGGCTGCCACGCTTGATAGTAAACTGGTGTTTACAAGAAGTTTTTTTTTCCTTCATACTCTGTGTATGTATTATTGGGATGTTATTGTAATGTATTTACATTTTCAAAATATAAAGGTAAACATATCATCTCCACTTCATCCTGAGATATATAGATCTATATATTTTCAGAGAATAAAATGGATTATAAGATGTATGTATTCTAAATGACTATTTTATAACTAATATGTTTCAGGTTAACAGTCATTTAATTATATACGGAGTTTAATGAACTCATGCGTTTTAATGTACTATAACAGCAGTGAATGTGTTGCATACCTGTTTGTTTATATCTATGTATCTAAATATCTCTATGTAGCTATGTAGAGTATGCTAAAAAGCATTTCATATAGAGGACCTTGAAGTGAAGATGAGCTTTCACTTAGAGGGCTTATGTTCTCTGATGTCTTAGACATGCAAACAAGCTTATGCCTGAACTCCGAAATGAACTGTAAAGCTCTAATACAGCTATTTATACAATATAGCCCACAGTCATTAAATCCACAATTTCAAAGGACTTAAAAAGGGACTGTTGACCTAAAATATTGAGATCTTGAACTCTAAAATAGTCTTGAGGCCTCTTCACACCAAGTCAAAAAAAGCGCCTGAGAAGAAAGGTGCATTCAAAACGAAAAAAAAAATGCAAAATGCATTCCTATGAAATACTTCATACAGAGTCAGAAATATATTGATGTGATTATTCACTTTTTTTATTATTTAGTCGCTTTTTTTGTTTAATTTTCAGATGCCAAATAGTTTAAGATTTTAACAGTTTTGAGAAAATTGGCATTAGACTATGTGTGAATAGTTTTGGTGTGAAAATTGTTTGCAAACATTTTATACTTTCATGTTTGGTCGCATCTGACTTGGTAACCCCTTTAATAGATATTCTTGAATATTTGACAAATCTTAAGTGAGCATCTACTGTAGTTTACATGTTGAGCAGTAGCATAAGCTGGACTTATGTTACCACTCTTAAATACCTTAATACCTTATAATTGTCTTAAATCATTATATTATACTTCTGTTTACCAATTAGTTTGGTAACTTTCGTTAGACTTGATGGCTTGATGGTTTAGTTTTTCTTTGAACTCTTTTCTTCCTGAAATACAGCATAATTAATTCTGGCAAAACCATATTTTATTATTACCATTTACCAGAATGTTAATAATAATAATAATAACCCTAACCCTAACCCTATCCTCGAAATTAGTACAATTTGTTGTCCTACAAGACTATAGGTTCATTTTGCCCATGTTAAGCCTACAAATGATTGCTAAAACTGCAGAACATAGGACCTATGATGGTTTAAGTTTCAAATAATGATGGTTTATTTAATAGGCTACTTGGTTAATTAGACTTGAAGAATTCATGTGTAGCTGCTACTCCTCATCTTGCGGGTTTGTGAGGTGCCTCCAGCTGGTATCTGAAAGTCATGACCAAACAGCTGTGCATTGCTTAGTGTATTTTGGTGACATAAATGTCTGTACTGTAATTAATTATAAATAATGAAAAATACCTATATGTAGCAACTTGAATAAACAATATATATTGTATATTTATGAACTGATCAGATTTTGTATACATATTTATTTGCATAGCACATGCCTGTGGTTTGTTTACACCAGCAAAAGGGACTCTTGTTGGCATCTTTATGAATGACACCTCGTTTTGGCTTTAAATTGTGCTGTCGTGGCAGCTTTTAGGATCATAAATGCATTGCTTGATTTTTTTTTATAAACTTTTTCCATTGTTTTGTTTTTATATACATTTTTCATATCAGCCATAGTCTGTTGGGGCAAAAAAAAAGTCATAAAACTTTGTGATACAAAGTTTAAAAAAATGTCCATGTGTGGCTTCTTTTTCAAGTGTAAAAATTCATACCTGAATTCATACTTTAATTACAGTGCAATTTGTAAACAAACAGTTTTCGTCTAACCTGTAGACTCTGAAAATCTGTTCAGTTCACATTCCTTGCTTTAATCTTTGGTCACATCACTTCCACGTCCACTGAACACTTGGAATGTGTTGGACTCTTTTCCAGCCGCTTCACGTGATTCAAACCATTGCACAGGCAGCTCTCTTTGAAAAATGCTTCATCTATTATGCAAATCCATTTACAGTTCATTATGATTTCTGAATGACTAATATGCTTTAAGCATATATAGATTTTAAGCATACTAATTTTAGTAAGGTTATCTTATTAAACTATTTACCAATGGGATAAGGAAAATTACCTTTTTTGTAAAAATCTCAAATAAAGAACAAAGAACTGCACACACACATATGAATTTGGCAAATTTAGCACTAATACTGGCTTGATTATTTTTTGTGAATAATGTCCATTGCTACTTTAAATTTTAGCATCAATTCTAATTCTGGCATAAGAAATGACTCCGTTGAGAATGGAAAATGATATGTAAAGTGCTTTCCTGTCCACATACAGTGGGGCAAAAAAGTATTTAGTCAGCCACCAGTTGTGCAAGTTCTCCCACTTAAAAAGATGAGAGAGGCCTGTAATTTTCATCATAGGTATACCTCAACTATGAGAGACAAAATGAGAAAAAAAAATCCAGAAAATCACATTGTAGGATTTTTAAAGAATTAATTGGTAAATTCCTCGGTAAAATAAGTATTTGGTCACCTACAAACAAGCAAGAGTTCTGGCTCTCACAGACCTGTAACTTCTTATTTAAGAGGCTCCTCTGTCCTCCACACGTTACCTGTATTAATGGCATCTGTTTGAACTCATTATCAGTATAAAAGACACCTGTCCACAACCTCAAACAGTCACACTCCAAACTCCACCATGGCCAAGACCAAAGAGCTGGCAAAGGACACCAGAAACAAAATTGTAGACCTGCACCAGGCTGGGAAGACTGAATCTGCAATAGGTAAGCAGCTTGGTGTGAAGAAATCAACTGTGGGAGCAATTATTAGAAAATGGAAGACATACAAGACCACTGATAATCTCCCTCGATCTGATTTGAAGGTCCTGGAGTGGCCTAGCCAGTCTCCCGATCTCAACCCCATAGAAAATCTTTGGAGGGAGTTGAAAATCCGTGTTGCCCAGCGACAGCCCCAAAACATTACTGCTCTAGAGGAGATCTGCATGGAGGAATGGGCCAAAATACCAGCAACAGTGTGTGAAAACCTTGTGAAGACTTACAGAAAACATTTGACCTCTGTCATTGCCAACAAAGGGTATATAACAAAGTATTGAGATGAAATTTTGTTATTGACCAAATACTTATTTTCCACCATAATTTGCAAATAAATTCTTTAAAAATCCTACAATGTGATTTTCTAGATTTTTTTTTCTCATTTTGTCTCTCATAGTTGAGGTATACCTATGATGAAAATTACAGGCCTCTCTCATCTTTTTAAGTGGGAGAACTTGCACAATTGGTGGCTGACTAAATACTTTTTTCCCCCACTGTAAGTCTGTGGATTGTCTCTGGAAGGAACTGTCCAAAACAAATTGGAGAGACATTCAATATTTGTTCGGAAGTGTTTGAAAAGATTGACTGGTGCCATTGACCTTCAGTTAGTATGGTATCATTTCTATGACCGATCAGGGTGGTTTTAGTGCAGGAGCTCAGTTCAGTGATTCAGTCCATGCTGGAGCTCAGCCCAGTGAAACAGCTAGCCTACAACACATCAGTGTCTGGAGTGCCTTTTATTTAAATAGACAAAATGATACTTTTTTGTCAGATAAATTCAAGGGGGTGCTTTTTATAATAGTTACAATAAGTATTTTTATACATTAAGTACAGTTTAATAATTTAGAGTTAAATAGACAGTTACCTCCGGGTGGTAGTATGCTTCTTCAAAGGAGACTCTGCAGCAGTGTTATTTTAAAATTAAATTTAATGTGGCTGGAGCTCAGCCCAGTGAAACAGCTAGCCTACAACACATCAGTGTCTGGAGTGCCTTTTATTTAAATAGACAAAATGATACTTTTTTTGTCAAATAAATTCAAGGGGGTGCTTTTTATAATAGTTACAATAAGTATTTTTATACATTAAGTACAGTTTAATAATTTAGAGTTAAATAGACAGTTACCTCCGGGTGGTAGTATGTTTCTTCAAAGGAGACTCTGCAGCAGTGTTATTTTAAAATTAAATTTAATGTGTATATAACTTAGGACCATGTGATATTTCAGTTTTTCTTTTTTAATAAATCTGCAAAAATGTCAGCAATTCTGTGTTTTTCTGTCAATATGGGGTGCTGTGTGTACATTAATGAGGAAAAAAAATTAACTTAAATGATTTTAGCAAATGGCTGCAATATAACAAAGAGTGAAAAATTTAAGGGGGACTGAATACTTTCCATACCCACTGTATATATATATATATATATATATACACACACTTCGGAACTCAAAGGCTACTGGCATCTGTTTGGTTACCAACATTCTTCAAAATATCTTCTTTTGTGTTCAACAGAAGAAAGAAGATCATACAGGTTTGGAACATCTTGAGAGGAGAGTAAGACGGAGAGTTCATTTTTGGGTGAACTATCCCTTTAAAGCCACGAGAGGGCTTATTTGAACTCCATTTAGTGTGTATTTAGTTTCTACACGAGTAAAAATAGATAGACTTTGTGGTTTGACTACATTTGTATTTTCTATATACAATATATTCGAGTGTCTGTCTTGAGACCGTTTGTCTTAAAGGAACCG